CCAGTAGAGCATCTTAACAAGTTAATCAGTTATTTTATCAGTCTGAGCATAGCAATTAGTAATTGTTTATATTATTTTCAGTTTGATCAGGATGCAGATATCAGCAGTTACATTTTCAGATCAGCAGTTCAGGTGGGGAGTCAGACTAAGTACTAAATTGTTTATAATTGCTCTACCATGTTCGAGGTATGTATTTTCAGTATCCGCTCGGAATGGTCGCCGGTCCATTCTGGGTTCTAGTGGCCCTAGTCTGCCCACTAGAGTGTGCACATGGTGTCCGGTTCGCCGGCAGATGTTCAGTTCAGATGTGACTTCGGTCACTACGTGGCTTCGGTCACGAGATCAGTTATCAGTTACGTGACTTCGGTCGCGAGTACGTGACTTCGGTCGCGAGTTCAGACCGGTATCAGTTCAGTTCAGATATATCCTTAGTTCATGATATTGTTATTATTTACGATGTTTTACATTAGTATGAGTTTCCACGGAGCACAGTGCCTTAGTGCTCACTCCCCAGTTTTATCATGTTTTTCAGGTTATGAAGTCGGGCCGGAGGAGTGAGATGACAGAGCGGTTCGGGATTATGCTTATAAAGTTTAAATTACCTAAGCTTTATGCTTATAAAGATTAAATTAGGTCATGTACAGTTTGAATTTGGCAAAGCAGTGTCGATATAATTTTCAAATAACATGTTTTCAAGATTTCGACATTGCTAACCAAATTCTCAGCTACAGCTTCCGCTGATGTTTTACTGTTTGTTATACTTAGCCCTTTTATCAGTCAGCAAGCTGTTGACGATTCACTGTTTGCTCGACCGAAGTCCATTATCAGTTCATCAAACAGTGAATTTGTCTAATTCTGAATCAGTCATGTATTATTTAAACTTTTGAAAATCAAAAGTTTCAGACTTTTCAGTCAGTTATGTATTTTAGTAGCACTCCGAATCAGTATTTCGCAATGTAAAAATGATGTTATTTTCAATAAAATTGCGAGTTGCGCACTCTGATTTTCATGACAAAGCGGGGTGTTACATCATGTGCTGCTCTTGAGGATGACGGGTTAGAGGGTAAATGGGGTAAAGGGGTTATGAAAATTCTGAAAGGTTCATTGGTTATTTTCAAAGCTGAAAAACGGAAAAACTTGTATGTTTGCACTACTACTTGTGAATCACTTGCTGAAATTTCTGTGAATGTTGTTCATGTCGACCAAACTAATCTTTGGCATAGACGTTTAGGTCATATGAGTAGTCGTGGTCTTGAAATTTTGCATAAAGCGGGCTGTTTTGGTAAAGATAAATTATCTTGTGTGCCGTTTTGTGATTCTTGTGTACTTGGCAAGCAACAACGTGTTAAATTTCCTGTTTCATCTTCCCCTAAACCCTCTATATGTTCGGATATTCTTGAATATTTGCATGCCGATGTTTGGGGTCCCGCTAGTGTTCCGACACATGGCGGGAGTAGGTATTTCTTGTCTGTGATAGATAATTTTTCAAGAAAAGTCTTTGTGTTTCTTTTGAAAAATAAATCTGATGTTTTCGAAATGTTTAAGACTTGGAAAACCTTGATTGAAAACGAAACCGGTAAAAAGATTAAAATTCTTAGGACTGATAATGGACTTGAATTTTGCAATAATTTGTTTGATGAATTATGTGCTCAATCTGGTATTCAAAGGCATAAAACCGTGCCTTACACCCCTCAGCAAAACGGTGTTGCCGAGCGAATGAATAGAACTTTACTTTAAAGGGTGAGGTGTATGTTGTCTAGTTCGGGTCTTTCAAAAAAGTTTTGGGGTGAGGCCGTTTTAACTGCAGCTTATTTGATAAATAGATCGCCTTCCGTGCCTTTGAATGGTAAATGTCCTGAGTTTATTTGGTCTGGTAAAGAAATTGATTTTTCAAACTTGCGTGTTTTCGGTTGTGCTGCGTTTTGTCATACAAAACTTGATAAACTTGAACCTCGCTCAATGAAATGTGTTTTCTTAGGATATTCTGATGGTGTTAAAGGTTATAGATTGTGGCTTAGAAGCGTACCCGGCTTTAAGGTCGTGATAAGTCGAGATGTTGTCTTTAATGAATCTGAAATGCCATGTTTAATTGCTCCTTTGCCTGCTCCTTTAACTGATGAATCTGAAAATGCTCCAAATGCGGTGGAGCAATTGAGTGGTTTAAGTGAGTTTGATAATTTTGAAAATATGCATGCTGAAACTAAAACCGAACGTGCTGTGTTTGATAATCGACATGCTGAAATTGCTGAAAATGAACCTATAAATGCTGAAACTGAAAATCAGCAATCTGAAAATTTTGAAAATGTCGATGTGCATGATGAATATGTGGAAAATGTGCCTGAAAATGATGTTGATTTGCATGATTATCAACTTGCTAGAGATAGGACTAGAAGGGAGCGTAAGAAACCTTCTAAGTTTGATGATTTTCACATGACTTCATATGCTTTTGGTGTTTTCGAATCTATTGATAATTGTGAGCCTAAGTGTTATGACGAAGCCTTAAAATCTGTGAATTCTTTGCAATGGATGAATGCTATGCGTGAAGAAATTAATTCGTTGCATGTGAATCATACTTGGTCGCTTGTACCTAAACCTGATAATTGTTCCTTAGTGGATTGCAAATGGTTGTATAAGGTTAAACAAGAAAATGATTCGGTTAGGTTTAAAGCTAGACTCGCAGCAAAAGGTTTCACTCAACGTGAGGGTATTGATTATACCGAAATATTTTCTCCTGTTGTTAAATTCACCACCGTGCGTATCATGCTTGCTTTAGGTGCTCACTTTGATTGGGAATTAAAGCAAATGGATGTTAAAACCGCTTTCTTGCATGGTGAATTAGATGAGAAAATATATATGAAACAACCTGTTGGTTTTGTGGATGCTAAGAAATCTGATTATGTGTGTTTGTTAAAGAAATCCTTGTATGGTTTGAAACAATCTCCTAGGCAATGGAACAAGAAATTTGATATGTTCATGTTTTCTTTAAAGTTTAAGAGAAGTTCTTATGATCATTGTTTGTACTTTAAAGAAAATGCGAATGTTCCTGTTTTTCTGCTCATATATGTTAATGATATGTTGCTGGTCGGTCCTTGCATTAAGTCTATTGAGCATGTTAAAAAATGTCTAAGTGATAAATTTGATATGAAAAACCTTCGAGATGCTAAAAGGATTCTTGGAATGAACATTATTCGTGATAGGAAAAACTCTGTGCTTTTTCTTAATCAAATTTCTTATGTGGAGAAGATTTTGAGTAAATTTTCTATGTCGTCTGCAAAGTCCGTGATTTCCCTTGCTGCCCACTTTGTGCTAAGTAAGGATCAGTCTCCTAAGACTGATCAGTCTCCTCAGATCGGATATTGCATATGCTGTTAGTTGTTTGAGTAGGTACATGTCTAATCCGGGTATGCCTCATTGGGAAGCTCTTAAGTGGTTGTTACGTTACTTGAATAGTTCTATGCATGTCGGTCTGAAATTTTCTAAGTGTTCTGAAGGTGTTAAACTTTTTGGCTATGTTGATTCGAAATATGCTAATGATAGAGATAATAGGAAATCAACAACTTCATATATGTTTACTTTGTGTGGATCGTGTGTGAGTTGGAAATCACAACTTCAGCATATTGTTGCCTTGTCTACGACCGAATCTGAATATGTGGCTGTAACTGAGGCCTTGAAAGAGGCTGTTTGGTTGAAGGGTCTTTTATGAGAAATCGGTTTACTTGAAAAAGATGTTGTTGTGTTTTCCGATAGCCAATCGGGGATTCAATTGTGTAAAAATCCTGTTTTTCATGATCGCACTAAGCATATAGACGTTAGGTTTCATTTCATTCGTGATATTGTGTCTAAAGGCTTAGTTAATCTTGAAAAAATTGCATCCGAGTTTAACCCCGCTGATATGGGAACTAAGTGCTTACCTGTTGAAAAATTCAGATCGTGCATGAGAACTTTGAACTTCGATTCGTGTGATTGATGTGCTGAAATTTATGTGTGCTCGTAGGTAGTGTACTATGTGTTTGCTGCCTGTTTTGATACTTGTTCTAACTTCGTGAAAGTGCAGGTGTCGTCGTTAAGCGATGATGAAAGTCCTCCGGCACCTCAAGGTGTCCGGTATTCGGTGGTGGGCCAAATTCGGTGGAGAAATGTTGGGAATTTGGCCCAAAATCTAGATCCCTATCTTAGGCCCAAGGAAGCCCCGACCCAATCCCGACTGGGTCTGGCCCTCTTACACACACAAGTGGCAGATTAATTTGGACCCTTGGATTTAGGGATTAAATCCCAGCCCTCCATCTCTAGCCTTAAATACCCTCACACTCTAACCCTAAGTCAGAACTCTCACTTCACTCTCTCTCTCGCTGCTGCGCCTAATCTCTCTCTCTCTCTCTGTGAAGAAAAAAAAAAACCGATCCCTCTCTCTTTTCTGTTCTTTGTGACTGCCACTGTGAGAGACACCGTGAGAGACGTCGGAGTGCCGCCTCTGTACCGTTGCACCGTCGTCGAGCTCTAATCGCCGGCAAGAGCCCGTTGGGCTTCCAGGCGAGTCTCTTTCTGAGACGTGAGCTTAGGTGACGGGGTGACCGGGTGCGTGGCCCGTGTGAGTGAGGAGCAGCCCGGGGATTGGGCCGAGGAACCGGGGCTGCCGTCCGTTGGCTACCACCGAGCCGCTACTTACCGAGGGCGCCGGGTTCTAGGATAATCTGAGCCGGGAGACTTAGTGTCGTCACTATCCGGCCAGATTTCGGTCAAAGAGAGTTCCTCTTTCCATTTTCTTTCATTTCCTGTTGTTTCAGTTTTTACCTTGTGTTTTCAGCTTCTTTATTGTTGTTCATGTTAGTAGGTTTATTGTTATTAACCTCAGTATTTTGATTGCGGCTGAATAGGTACGAAAAGGAGCTGGAACGTGCGGTTTAAGGGGAGCTGGGATCAACCCGGGCCAAGAAGAAGGTTGTCCAAGAGCCCGGTGGTACGAGCAACACCCTTCTGTGGCTGGGAGTGACTGCATTGCGGTCAGAGAGCTAAAAGAAGAGCCTCCGCTGCGTACGAGTCAAGCGGGTGAACGGGACGACCACTTAACAGTGGTATCAGAGTCGTCCCGCCACCGCAGGTAAGTCGAGCACCTACGTGTTAGGGCTCGCTCTGGTATTGTCTCTAACTCTTTTGTTTGCCGCTTTCTGATTATTGTAGCCTCTGGACGGGGATTGCGTCCAGAGAATAGGATTGCGTAGCCCCTGGACGGGGATTGCGTCCAGAGAATAGGATTGCGTGTTGGGAAACTAGCTGCTAGATCATTAGGTTAGATATGCATGCTATGTGTTAAATGTGCTTATCTTTGTTGATCTAATGTGGCTATTTTTTCCTGTGTTTCGAGCATTAAATTTCGTATTTTCTGCTGTCTTGTGCTAATTTCAGTGAAATTTGCTTCGTGTTAAATTTCTGTTATTTTTTGAGTCTTTGTGCCTCATTTATTGCTGTTTATTAAGCTGAAATTTGCTTGTTAAATTGCTGAAAATTAATTGGTGCTGAAAACTACGTGTTAATCGAGCTGAATATTAATTTGTGCTGATTTCTGTGCGATTTTAAGTGCTGAAAAATCTGATTTTGGGCTGAATTCGGTGTATTTTAGTTGCTGTAATTTTGTTGCTATTTTCTTATTTGAACTGGTGTGTTTTTTGTGAAAATGGCTTCGTTTCCAGCTTTTAATTTGGCCCCATTTGACGGAAAATCTGATTTTTCAATTTGGCAACAAAAAATGAAAGGGATTTTAATTCAACAGCGAGTGTTTAAAGCCGTTGAAGGCTCGTTTCCACCCGATGAACCTTCTGATAAAATTGCTGAAATGGATCAATTTGCTTACTCGTCAATTATCTTGAATTTGTCTGACTCTGTGCTTAGGAAAGTTGGTAAACTTGATTCTGGAAAAGATCTGTGGGAAAAATTAGAAGAATTATATACTGAAACTTCGTTGCCGAGTAAATTGTTCTTGCTTGAAAAATTTTTCCGGTTTAAACTTGATCTTTCGAAAGATATTGATGAGAATCTCGATGTGTTTACTAAACTTGTTCAGGACATTAAATTGACCGGTGATAAGCATATTGATGATTATACTCCTATTGTGCTTTTAAATGCTATTCCTGATTCTTACAGTGATGTCAAATCTGGTATTAAGTATGGTAGGGATAATGTGACACTTGACACTGTTGTGAATGGATTAAAAAGTAAGGAGTTAGATTTAAAAGCTCATAAGGGGGGTAAAAATTCGGGTGAGGTTCATTTTGTTAGAGGTCGGCAACAAAATAGATTTCAAAATCAAAAGCCTTCTAATAATAATGGTAACCAACCTGAAAAGAAAAAAGGTAAAGGAAAAAGTCGTTCTAAATCCCGTCCGAAAAATCGTAAGTGTTACAATTGTGGTGACATTGGACATTATGCTAAAGAGTGCACTAAACCTAAAAAGAATCAAGCTAATGTGGCCTCGTGTAGTGATAAACTTGGTGATGTATTTGTGGTGACTAAAATATGTGATATACATGCTAATGTGAATTCTATGCATTCTTATCTTTGTGAAAATGAATGGCTTGTTGATTTCGGTTGCACTTTTCACATGTCTCCATATAGAAATCTGTTTTCAAACTACAAAGAGGTTAAAAATGGCTATGTTTCTATGGCAAATGAAAAACTTTGTGATGTTGCTGGTATTGGTGATGTGTGCCTTAAGTTTAATTCCGGTTATGTGCTTTGTTTGAAAAATGTTCGTCATGTTCCTGACTTATGCCATAACTTGATTTCATGTGTAACACCCCGAGTTTTATTAATAAAGGAAAATACTAGCTTTAATGTTAAGCTATCCTTTGTTAATAAATAATCATGTTCATGTTCAAATTTCAGTGATTCAGCCAGTTAAATTTCAAGTTCGACTATTAGTCGATAGGTTATTCGGTTGGAAAATCGAATAAGTTTTCAGATTTTAATTCCGATTCATTTAATTAGTAATGAGTCTGGAATTAATTAGTCAAGTTGACGAATTATTCGAAATATTTATGTTCGGATTAATCGTCTAAGTCAAGAATATTCGAATTAACTTTCGAATGTCATGTTATGTTCGGAATAATATTCCGATAATTAATCCAGTTAAAATTCTTTATGTCAAGTTCAGGTTACCTATACTGTGACGCGTTCACATTGGTACACCGTCCATCATTAATTAAGTAGTGGTCATTAGCCTTGCTTAATTAATTTAATCATGTTTAAAGTTAAGTAATCAAGATTAAGCTTAAGATAATCATGATTAGCTTAATGTTAATTAAAGATTAATTAACATTAATGATGATTAATTAATGTTAATCATGTTTAAGGTGATAAGCAAGTCATTAGCATGGTTTAGCATTAAGCAGGGGCAAACACGCGCATTAGCGCCTAAGCGCGCGCATTAGCCCTAAGCACGCCATTAGCGCGACTAACCGAGTTTAACGCGCCGAATGTTCAAGCTTCTTCAATTTCACGTGCAATATCATGAGTCAAGGGGACACCTGGAGGGCTGAGAATTGTTCAGGTCATGACTAAGCATTTAAACTGATGAGTCAGCCGAGATGCGCCACCTTGTTCTTTGCATGCGCGGCACTTGGTGCTCGGCCAACCTCAAGTTTTCCCTCGTTTTCTCCGTGCAATAAGGCAATATATGTTCAGAAAGAAAGGGGAAATTCACTTCATATACTTAGTAATACATTCAGCAAGGATTAAGTAAGCAATCAGCCCTAAGCTCGCATGTTCATGTGATTATGCACGGGGATAAGGAAATCGTGCCCGTCTATGAGAATTCTCCGAGTACATAAGAAGGTAATCTCATGCTTAACTTCTTCTTATGTTAATCAAGTTATATTCAAGTCAGTTCAGTTAGTTCATGTCGAGGTAATCATGTAAAGTTCGCGATTAAGCTCGGTATTGGCCATAAGGGGTCTAACCGAGTGATCTTTAGTTCCATTCAGATTTCACCGAACAACTCATGGTTATTTAGTCAGTTTAGATCATTATATGTTCAGTTTTGCAAGATGGTTCGAGGAAAGTTGTAGAATTGTTCATGAATCGGCCTATGAATGTGGACTGCGCATCTAGCGCACGCCCACGGTCCGTGAATTGCTCTTCGAGTTATCAGATTATATGTTCAGAATCACGCGAGTAATTCCAGTCTTAATAAGCTTTAAATTATTTATAAAGATCAGGTATTCAAGGTTGTTCGATAAAAGTTCATGTTTTGTCAAGGTCTTGCCCGAGGAAGTGGATCGCACGTGTAGTGCGTACACGCGGGCTGTTCAAGTAATGCATCGAGTTATTTTCTTTATGATCAAGATCATGCGAGTACTTTAGTTCTCATTTGATATTAAATGAGGTATTATTCGGTGGATTCTCAATATGGTTCGAGAAATGTAACTTGTAGTCAAGAGAATTGGCTTAACGCCGATTGTGCGCGCACGGTGCGCGTACGCCGAATACACTCCGAGTCCAGCAAGTAAAGTCAGTAAAATCTGAGGAAGTTCAGCATGAATAATCATGTTTTAGTTTAATAGTATAAGTCATGTTATGAGTGTCGGGAACATCCATTGAATGGCCGGTGGAAACC